TGAAACTCTGTCTCAAAAAAAAAAAAAAAGAAAGAAAAAAAAAAGTTTTTATGGATCATCTTGTCATACTTCTCTGCAACAAAAATATGTATATAAATAAAAATTTTGGCTGGATGTGGTGGCTCATGCCTGTGTAATCCCAGCACTTTGGGAGGCTGAGGCAGGTGGATCACTTGAGGTCAGGCATTCGAGACCAGCCTGGCCAACATGGTAAAACCCCATCTCTACTAAAAATATGAAAGTTAGCTGGGTGTGTTGGTGGGCACCTGTAATCCTAGCTACGTACTTGGGAGGCTTAGGCAGGAGAATCACTTGAACCTTGGAGGTGGAGGTTGCAGTGAGCTAAGATCACGCCACTGCACTCCAGCCTGGACAACAAAGTGAGAGTCCAAAAACAATTTTTTTTTAAAGTTATTTTAAAATGTTCGTACAAGGATGGGCACAGTGGCTCATGCCTGTAATCCCAGCACTTTGGGAGGCTGAGGTGGGTAGATCACCTGAGGTTAGGAGTTCAAGACCAGCCTGGCTAACATGGTGAAACCCCGTCTCTACTAAAAATACAAAAATTTTATATAAATAAAAATTTTGACTGGGTGTGGTGGCTCATGCCTGTGTAATCCCAGCACTTTGGGAGGCTGAGGTGGGCAAATCACTTGAGGCCAGGAGTTTGAGACCAGCCTGGCCAACATGATGAAACCCTGTCTCTACTAAAAATACAGAAATTAGCCGGGCATGGTGGCACATGCTGGTAATCCCAACTACTCAGGAGGCTGAGACAGGAAAATCACTTGAACCCGGGAGGATAAGGTTGCAGTGAACCCAGATCACGCCACTGCACTCCAGCCTGGGTGACAGAGCACAACTCCGTCTAAAAAAAAATTCCTTTTGAATTATATGGCAAGAACCAAAGTGTTCTGTCATCAAAATTGATTTTTTAATGTGTGAATTGACACCTTGCTAAAGTCCCCCAACTTTGTTGATTCTAAAGAATTGGAAACCATTTGAGAGGAGCTATTGTAAGAAGGGACTTCAGCTTTGATCGTTAGCCATCAGGAGCTCTCCCTCAGGCACATCAGATTTAGCCGTTTTAGAGAAAGTTGAGGTTCTGAAATGCTCCATGGGCTGCTCACCCTTTGGAAAGACTATTATAAGGTGTAGAAATACCCGACAGAAGCCCACTGCTCTAGGATACCTAATGTGTGGTTTTCTCTAAAAGGCTCAATTTGAGGACTTTTTAAAGTTACCTCTTTTATAGGAATGGTTCATATTTCTGGTGGTCATTGGCACAGCAAATGTGAGTCTTACTTTAAATATGGAAATAGGTTAAATATACTGAGTCTTACTTTAAATATGGAAATAGGTGAAGATACTGTTCCTTGTTCTATATAGTCCCTTATAATTTTTAGAGCACGTTTATATACATTATCTCCTTTGATCTATATAACACTGTATGGTAGGGTAGATAGATGTTATCTCTAAAGCATAAATAAGGAGTGGATCAGAGGGTTTTTTTGTTTCCGGTTGTTTGTTTTTGAGACAAAGTCTCGCTCGGTCACCCAGGCTGGAGTGCAGTGGCATAGTCTCAGCTCACTGCAACCTCCACCTCTTGGGTTCAAGCGATTCTGCTGCCTCAGCCTCCGGAGTAGCTGGGATTATAGGCGCCCGCCATCATGCCCAGCTAATTTTGGTCAGGCTGGTCTCAAATTTTTGACCTTGCGATCCACCTGTCTTGGCCTCCCAACGTGCTGGGATTACAGGCATGAGCCGCCGCACCTGGCTGTCTTTGTTTTTTGGTTTTTTTTGAGACTGAGTCTCGCTCTGTCACCCACGCTGGAGTGCAGTGGCACGATCTTGGCTCACTGCAACCTCTGCCTCTTGGGTTCAAGTGATTCTCTTACCTCTATCTCCCAAGTAGCTGGGACTACAGGCATGCACCACCAAACCCAGGTAATTTTTGTATTTTTAGTGGAGACAGGGTTTCACCATGTTGGCCAGGCTGGTCTCAAACTCCTGACCTCAAGTGATCCACCCACCCCAGCCTCCCAAAGTGCTGAGTATAGATGTGAGCCACCTCACCTGGCCGATCAGAGGGTTTTTGTGAGTGTTCTAACACAGAGCTCTGGGTGCTGGAATCTCAGTCTTCTGATTCCTTATTCCTCGGTCTCTGACAAGAAACTAAGTCAGTAGATTCCAACATTCCTTTTTCTATCGCTATGGGCCATGAACTCTTTCTTACTGCTTTTTCCTTCCACAGATTGGTGAAATCTTAATGATATTATCAGTAGCTAATTAGACCTTGACCTTAATTACAACAAGAAGCAAAAAAATAAATATTGGCAAATTCTTAGCTTGTACAGTTTTATCAAATTAAATAAATAATTTCTATTCAGAATTTTTTAATAAAAAATAATGGTGGCCAGGTGTGGTGGCTCATGCCTGTAATCCCAAGGAACAACTTCTACTGAGAATTTTTTAATAACAGTATCCAGGCACAGTGGCTCATGCCTGTAATCCCAGCACTTTGGGAGGCCAAGGCAGGTGGATCATGAGGTCAAAAGTTCAAGACCAGCCTGACCAACATGGTGAAACCCCGCCTCTACTAAAAATACAAAAATGAGGCAGGTGTGGTGGCACACACCCATAATTCCAGCTACTGGGGAGGCTGAGGCAGGAGAATCATTTGAACCCAGGAGGTGGAGGTTGCAGTGAGCCGAGATCGTGCCACTGCACTCCAGCCTGGGCGACAGAGCGAGACTCCATCTCAAAAATAATAATAATGGTAACAGCCTCTATTTCTTCTATTCTTATTTATGTGCCAGACACAATAGAGGGCCCATGTTAATAGTCTGGCTGGATGCAGTGGCTCACGCCTATAATCCTAGCACTTAGGCCGGGCGCGGTGGCTCAAGCCTGTAATCCCAGCACTGTGGGAGGCCGAGGCGGGTGGATCACGAGGTCAAGAGATCGAGAGACCATCCTGGTCAACATGGTGAAACCCCGTCTCTACTAAAAATACAAAAAATTAGCTGGGCATGGTGGCGTGTGCCTGTAATCCCAGCGACTCAGGAGGCTGGGGCAGGAGAATTGCCTGAACCCGGGAGGCGGAGGTTGCGGTGAGCCGAGATCGCGCCATTGCACTCCAGCCTGGGTAACAAGAGCGAAACTCCGTCTCAAAAAAAAAAAAAAAATCCTAGCACTTTGGGAGGCTGAGGCGGGCAGATCACAAGGTCAGGAGTTCGAGACCAGCCTGACCAATATGGTGAAACTCTGTGTCTACTAAAAAATACAAAAATTAGCTGGATGTGGTAGTGTGCACCTGTAGTCCCAGCTACTCAGGAAGCTGAGGCAGAAGAATTGCTTGAACCCAGGAGGCAGAGGTTGCAGTGAGCCTAGATTGAGCTACTGCACTCCAGCCTAGGCAACAGAGCAAGACTCCATCTCAAAAAAAAAAAAAAAAATAGTCTGAAGACTGCCATTATTCCTATGAAAATCCCATACAAGGACCAATTGAAAGGACCCCAATTACAAGTTGGGGTTACCTCTTCAAGAACCTTGTATTTGTGTGGCAGACACTCTGTGTTTCTGTAGTCACAATATTTGGAGCATTTGTGGGGCTGGGAACTTAGAGCTTTCTCTTTGAAAGTGTGGAAAGCACAGATCCTAGAGAAGCTAGAGCCTAACCCTCTTATGCTCCTTAGGATGGAGTCCACAGAGAAGTGTGAAGCCATCATCACCCACTTTAATGGAAAATATATTAAGACACCCCCTGGAGTACCAGGTGAGGCATGTGGGGCTCAGACTGAGAGGGCCACAGGTTGTTACTTCCAGTGAAGATTCTGGAGCAGCTTTGCATGAGTGTGCCTGGGCCACATGAGGTGGGACTCAGCTGAGCATCTGCTTTCTCTCTTGGCAGCCCCACCTGATCCCTTGCTTTGCAAATTTGCTGATGGCGGGCCAAAGAAACGACAGAACCAAGGAAAATTTGTGCAAAATGGACGGGCCTGGCCAAGGAACGGAGACATGGTAAGAGGACCTCTGAGGAGACAAGAGTACTAAGGACATTCAAGTGGAATGGGAATGATCATGGCATGATTTCTGTGAGCCGAGGTTGAAAGCTTGAGAGCTACAGCAGGTAACCGAGAGGTGCTGGCTGTTGACATACTGCCAGTGTGTTCTTGAGTGGGGCTTTGCAGCCTGAACAATCAGAAAAACTCTGAACAGCTGTAGTGGGACTTGTCCGGGCTTTAATTCGTTAAACTAAATACATTCCCAGCCTTGGACGTTCTGGGCCTGTTCTCACACAAGGACTCACAATGTGAACACTGTCTTCTTTCTTTATAGGGTAGCATGGCCTTGACCTATGACCCCACCACATCTCTTCAGAATGGGTAAGGGTGTTTTATACAACCAGGCCACCTGAAAATGATAATAGCCTATATCCAGACACTCAAATGTTTCATCTTGATTGTCTCTATTTGAAAGTCAAGGGAGAGTTGGCTGTGCCTATCAGTCGGGGCTCTTCCCTTGTGGTTTCCTGTGACTCAGTACTGATTGAGGTTCCTTCCCACAGGTTTTACCCAGCCCCTTATAACATCACCCCCAACAGGATGCTTGCTCAGTCTGCACTCTCCCCATACCTTTCCTCTCCCGTGTCTTCGTATCAGGTATGTTCATGCCTGAAAAAGGGTGCGGTGGTTTCCCTACTATTGTGCTTTAAGTAATATAAGGCTAGGAACTTCTTATTTTTTGTTTTTTCTTTTAATCATATTCCACACAATTTTACATAACAGTGTAAAAGATGATCTGTGTGTGTGCAGTGATATATATAGTATGTAGTTCCCCCCCAGTATGTAGTTTTAATGGTGTCCTCTTACTCCCCTTCCACCACCCCAACAAGTAAACTCATGTTAATGTCCTACTGTGTAGCATTGGTCATATTTTTTCATGTGAATATACACATTTGTATAGCATTTGGGAAGTTGTTTATTTTACAAAAATTGGACCATATTAAATATATTTTTACATTCACTCGTCTCACTTAACAGTATCGTACACCAGTGATTCTCAAAGTGTGGTCCTAGACCAGCAGTGTCAGCATCATCTGCGAATTTTTAAAAACAGAAATTTTGGACCCCCCTCCAAATCTACTGAATTACAAACTCTGAGTATGGGGCCCAGCGATCTGAGTTTTTGTTTTGTTTTGTTTTTTTGCGACAGAGTGAGACTCTATTGCCCAGGCTGGAGTGCAGTGGCAAGAACTCAGCTCACTGCAACCTCTACCTCCCAGCTTCAAGTGATTCTCCTGCCTCAGCCTCCCAAGTAGCTGGGATTACAGGCGTATACCAACATGCCGGGTAATTTTTGTATTTTTAGTAGAGACAGGGTTTCACCATGTTGGCCAGGCTGGTCTTGAACTCCTGACCTCATGATCTGCCCACCTCAACCTCCCAAATTGCTGGGATTACAGGCATGAGCTACTGTGCCCAGCCCTGTTTGATTTTTATTTATTTATTTATTTTTTTTTTGAGATGGAGTCTCGCTCTTGTTGCCCAGCCTGGAATGCAGTGGCACAATGTTAGCTCACTGCAACTTCTGCTTCCTGGGTTCAAGTGATTCTCCTGTCTCAGCCTCTGAAATAGCTGGGATTACTGGCATACGCCACCACACCCAGCTAATTTTTGTATTTTTAGTAGAGTTGAGGTTTCACCATGTTGGTTGGGCTGATCTCAAACTCCTGACCTCAGGTGATCTGCCCACCTCAACCTCCCAAAGTGCTGCACCACGCCCGCCATGATCTGGGTTTTAATAAGCCCTCCAGGTGATTCTGTTGCAGCTAACATTATCTCTGCTCTAATTTTATCTTTTTTAATGGTTACATTATAATTCATGCTGCAGATGTGCCAGAATTCTTTAGCTATACCCAATGAGAGCATTCACTTAGATTCGTTTTTTTGCTGCTATCAATAATGCTCCACTAAACACTGTTGTGCTATATTTTTACATAAGACTGCTTCTATTTCTGGGGGCTAGAGTCTCAGGAGTTGGATTGCTAGGTTGAATGGTGTACGGATGTTCAGCTTGATAGACATTGCCAGATTGCTTTCCACAAAGGCTGTGTTACCTCACATTTCTACCAGCCTTGTGTGAAAGTACCCATTTCCCTCCAGACATAGGTGTTACTGCTCCTTTTAAATTGTTCCTGTCCTCGTGATCCACCCGTCTCAGCCTCCCAAAGTGCTGGGATTACAGGTGTGCAAGGTGAAGAGATCAAGACCATCCTGGCCAACACGGTGAAACCCTGTCTCTACTAAAAGTACAAAAATGAGTTGGGCGTGATGGCACATGCCTGTAGTCCCAGCTACTCAGGAAGCTGAGGCAGGAGAATTGCTTGAACCTGGGAGGTTGGAGGGAGGCAGAGGTTGCCGTAAGCCGAGATCACACCACTGCACTCCATCCTGGTGACAGAGCGAGACTCCATCTCAAAAAACAAACACAAATTAGCTGGGCATAGTGACAAGCACCTATAATCCCAACTACTACGGAGGCTGAGGCAGGAGAATCGCTTGAACCCAGAAGGTAGAGGTTGCAGTGAGCCATGATTGTGCCATTGCACTCCAGCCTGGGCAGCAAGAGTGAAACTCCATCTCAAAAAAAAAAAAAAAATTGTTCCTGACTTGATGAATGTAAAGTACATTGTTATTTTAATTTGCATGTCCCTGACTATAGGTGAATTTAATCATTTTGTTTGTTATATTTTGATTTGCTTCTCTCTGATTGCTATTCATATGCTTTACCCATGTTTCTATTTATTTGTTCTTTTCTCATAAATTTATAAAAACTATATATAAGTATTAATCTTCTGAATATTTGTTACATATTTTTTTTCCAGTTTTATTTTTCGGCTGTTGACTTTGTGGTCTTCAAACTTTAGTGGTATATGAGAATCACGTGGAAAGCTTATTGAAACCTGGGTTGCAGCATCACACTCAGAGTTTCTGGTTCAGTAAGACTAGGGTAGAAGGCAAGAATTTGCATATCCAACAAGTTCCCAGGTGATGCTCCTGCTACTGCTGCTTGTTCAGGGAACATACTGTGGGAATCACTAGTCTTTGCCATATAAAAGTTGGCCAGGTGTGATGCCTCATGCCTGAAATCCCAGCAGTTTGGGAAGCAGAGGCAGGCGAATCACTTGAGCTCAGGAATTCAAGACCAGCCTGGGTAACATGGTGAAACCCCCATCTCTACAAAATATACAAAAATTATCTGGGCATGGTGGTGCATGACTGTAATCCCAGAAACTTGGGAGGCTGAAGTAGGAGGATCGCTTGACCCCAGAGGTTGACAGAGCAAGACCATGTCTCAAAAAAAAAAAAAAAAAAAGTAAACTTTGTATATAGTTGGCTGGACACGGTGGCTCACTCCTGTAATCTCAGCACTTTGGGAGGCTGAGGCAGGCAGATCACGAGGTCAGAAGATCAAGACCAGCCTGACCAACATGGTGAAACCCCGGCTCTACTAAAAATGCAAAAATTAGCCAGGTGTGGTGGTGCGCACCTGTAATCCTAGTACTTGGAAGGCTGAGGCAGGAGAATTGCTTGAACCCAGGAGGCGAAGGTTGCAGTGAGCCGAGATTGTGCTACTGCACTCCAGCCTGGGCTAGGCAACAGAGCTAGACTCCACCTAAAAAAATAATTATATATAGTTAAATTTTTCTTTTCCTTTTATAAAAAACTTTTGAATTTCTTGTCTTAATTTAAAAAGTATTCTCAGTCTCTAAATTATGTATCTGGTCTCCAAGATTTTTTTTTTTTTTTTAGGTTTTGGTCTCTAAGATTTTATGTTTTATATTTACATTTAAATGTCTAATCATCAGGATTTTATTTTTGTGTATGGCATAAGATAGGAGTCCTGGTTTTTTGTGTGTTTTTT